TCTGCCGGGGCCGGGGCTCGGCGGAGCCGCTCCGCGCCCCGGGGCGGGCCGGGCAGGGCGGGCGGCGCGGGGGCCGCTCCTTCTCCGCCCCGTGCCCGCCGCTCTGCGAGCCGAGGCGCCTCACGGAATCGCGGAATGAGCAAGGCTGGAAGAGCCACAGTGGTCATGTGGCCCAACCTCCCTGCTCAAGCAGGGTCACCCCGGAGCACGGGGCACAGGATTGTGTCCAGGCAGTTGCTGAGTATCTCCAATGAAGGAGACTCCACGAGTTCTCTGGGCAGCCTGTTCCAGTGCTCGGTTATCCAAGCAGTAAAGTTCTTCCTCATGTGCCGGTGAAACTTCCTGTGCATCATTTTCTGCCTGGTGCCTCGTGTCCTAACAGTTGGCACCACCGAGAAAAACCCGGCTCCATCCTCTTGGCATCCTCCCTCTGGATATCTGGGGCTGTCTCTCCCCTTCTGCGCACTGTGCCCGCTGGCTGGGAGCTGAGGCTGGAGGGAGCTGGGAGAGAGGCAGGAGGGCAGCAGCTGGAGCGGGTATCCTGCCGATCCCTCCTCAGCAAGCCGGGGAGTTCCACGGGAGGAGCCCTCTGTGCTTGGGCCACCTCTGCCCTGTCCTCTGCTGGTCCAGCCACTGATGGTCACCTGCTCCACTGAGATGTGCTGGAGCTGTTTCCCATTATAATTTTCCCAGCTTTCTAGGGAAGTTGGTTTTTTTTCTTTGTTTTCAGCCCCTCATTTTTTTTTTTTTTTTTTTTTTTTTTTTTTTTTTTCCCCCCCGTGTTTTCAGCCCCTCACGCTCTGACCAAATGCCCAAACCAGAAAAATATGAAAATCTCTCACCGGGGAAATCACTCCAGCAGAAGCGCAAGTTTTCCAACCACAGATTGATTTGAAGGGCTTGGCCACCATGACAATTTAATCCAAACCCCTCTGTGGCTTATGTTTTCCCTTATCTTTCTTACTTTCCTTCACATAACATCTCCATTACTGGAGGTAATCCATAATTCCTGCTGTGGAGCTCAGAAACTAGGAGAGATCCGTCCCTCTTCTGTCTTCTCCCAGATTTCTCTACGCTGTGCGCCAGTCTCTTGGTGCTTCTGAACTCTCCGATTTCTCAGCATTTGGGGAATTCTCTGTATCCATACAGGCACAGAATTGGTAGCATTTTGCCCTCATGTAAGTGGCTGCACAAGGTTAAGGGTAATTTTGGCAGATGGAAAAGCTCCTCAACTTTACAGCTTTGCTTTAAAATGCTGGCCACCTCATCTGACAGACCAGTCATCCCTTGGAAAAATACTGGCAAATCTGAAAAGTGATATAGCTGCAGAACTACTGCTGAACAGCAGCTGTGCAATTAGCGTGGGCATTATAAGTGTTTGCTTAATTTTACACCTGTGTAAACTTTGTCATAAAATGTTTGAATGGGAGGTTTTTATATCAGGGATATTTGGTAATGGAGCAATTAACGGGCAAAGCTATTTCCCCTCCTTAGAAACTTCACTGGGAAGAAATCTCTGAACACCTTTGTGTCTTTGTGCCTTTTGAATGTAACAGTGCTAAGTCCTGTGAGATTCTGACCAATTTCAGTTGAGAATATAGCCTCTAACTTTTTTAGCACCTTCCCCCCATATATCATAAAATATACATGCATACTTACTGAAGGGGGGAAAAAAAGAATGGTAAGAGTAACTTTCTTGCATTCATAGTGGAACATAGTGATTCAAAACAGAAAAAAATGTCAAGAGCAGCATGGATTCCCTTGGCAGAAATGCTACCTTCTCCAAGGAGGAAAAATCTCCTCAGCCAAAACCCAGCAAAAACCACCCCAAGCCTGTCTTTCCATACACCCCATTCTCTTAAAATCTTTTGGAATTTGATTTGTCTCATGTAGGATTAAAGTAATGATCTAACATTGCTGGGAGTAAAGTTAATTTACTCTTTGTAAACCAAAATATAAGTATTAGTGCCTTTCTATGTTGTTCAGGAATTACACATCCTTATTACACCTTCATATTGAACAGCAAGGTAAAGAGAGTGTCTGAAGTCATCCCGTCTTTTATATTTTAAAATATGATGATACAGTTGCATCTCACAGAAGCAGAAATTAATCAGATGCAGAGGAAATGCTACTTGATTGTCATGAACAGGCATCACGGATCTGATTTATCTCATCATTTCGCAACCCCAAACAGAGACATCACCTCTGTCACACTTGCTTAATTTCCTAGTCCAGCTAAGAGGGCAACTGTTCCAGTTGTACTAGTTGGAAAGTACATCATGTTATTATTACATCTCAGTCATGAAAGCAGATGCTTACCAAAGTTTTTTGGGATTTCCCCCCTCCACCCTCCCAGGATTCATTCAGCCCTGGACTGTAGAGGAACTTCAATGTCTCTCAGGTCTTCTTGTCAGACTCCCTCCGTGCCACAGAGTTGAAGGGTCATGAAAGAGAACTCCCAGCCTGGGTCAGTATGCGCCTTTTTTAATAAAAAACAATGAAAAAATTAAGTTAAGAATGATTAACCCTGCATTATATATATGGAACTGTAATTACAACCAGAATGTTCCGAGGGGGTAAAGACCTCAGTGTAATTGTTCTCAGTCTACCATTAGATGGCGGTGAAAAGCTCCTCTCAAAGCTGTCACGGGCTCAGGCTTCCCGCACAAGAGGCTTTGCGCAAGCACTCATCAGTCATAGCTATCTCTGGGCAGGATGTTCTTTAAGCTGCTTTCAGATGACTTTTTTTTTTTTTTTTTTTTTTAGTAAAACCTCAGCAACATACAGTCAAAAGTTTCAGTTTCGGTAAGAAACAGTAATCATTCATCTCTGACAGATTCATGGTGGTAGATTTCTTTCTTATTAGTCTGTCCAAGATGTGTTCTTGCCATGGCTATTCTCATAGAATTAATAAAAAAAAAAATTTTTTTTTTCCAATGGAGTCATCTCCTCTCTGGGAAGAGTAATTCCTCTCTTGTTTGATTTTCATTTTGTGTATTACACTATACTCCCTATGCCATTCACTCACAAGGAGATCAGTCTTTTAGGTTTGATAGCTCAGAGAGGAAAATTCTCAGTATCTTTTGACCTGTATGTTTGAATCTGTAACTGGGAATTCCCTCCCCACAGCCTAGGGTTTTTTGTTACCTTTGTTTTCCTGCAAGGTCAGTCAAGTGACAGCGCTGGATCTGCTGACACTCATTGCATCTCAAAATAAAGAGCCCCATGCTGCCATTTGAGTGCTGTGAGTAGCTCTGACTGACATTCTGCAGTGCACATCTCACCAGATTACTTGTCTCTGCAGATTTAGCTCCAGCATTGCGTTGTTGGGACCACACGCTTTTTAAGTTACAGTGCTTATTTCAAGGTGAGAAGGTGACTGGACAGTGTTCTATGCATATTTATGCTGCCTGGCCAAACAAAGTGTTCCCATACGAGCATCACCTTTAAGTTTGTCCATATTCATTTGAATAATGAGCTTCCTGACTGCTAATTCACCTCTTCCAATGTCACACCTATTGTAACTGCTTAGATGTTCTTTTTTCTTAGTCCATAGCCTACAGACAATTCCTCTAGTTTGTTACTTGCATTCAATCTGTTACCAAATAATCTTATTATCTCTTTCTCTAAAGCTCCTCTCTGAAAAATAACCTTTCATGTAGCAGAATCTCCCTTTCCAGCTCTTCCAGTGCTGCCTTTTCAGCTGACACGCTGCTCTAAACTTCCCTTTCTCGCACATTTGCCCATATAATCTACTGTGCTATCTTTTACCATGAAACATTTTGTTTATTCTCTTTAGGATACCTTTAATGTATTCAGCTCCTATCCCAGTATACTGAAACACCTCTACTTACCAACTCTTTGTGTTGTCATTTCATCTCTTGTGGTAACAACTGCATTATGAACTTCTGCCCATTTTTTCCTGCAGCCACATTGGCATCCTGCACAGAGAATCCCTTTCCAGAAGTGAGCAAGGTTTC